TTGTCAGGTTGCAAATCTTTCAAACTTGTATTCTCTGCTTCCTCTTGAATACTTTACCACTTAGAACTTTCTTCTGCCAGATACACTAAATCCTCTCTCTCAAGTTTAAAGTTTCACAGATCTCTAGGGCATGGGGCAAAATGCCACCAGTCCCTTTGCATAGCAAGAGTGACCTTAATCCAGTTCTCAATAAGTTCCTTATCTCCATCTGAGACCACCTCAGCCTTGACTTTATTGTTCATATCACAATCAGTATTTTGGTAGAAGCCATTCAACAAGTCTATAGGAAGTTCCAAACTTTCCTACATCTTCCTGGTTTGTCAGCCTTCCAAGTCTCTAGGAAGTTCCAACCTTTCACACATTTTTCTATCTTCTTCTGAGCCCTCCAAACTGTTCCAGCTCTGCCTGTTACCAAATTTCAAAGTCATGTCCACATTTTTGGCTATCTTTACAGCAGCTCCCCACTCTCTGTGGTACCAAATTGCTGTATTAGTCCATTTTCATACTTCTCTGAAGAAATACCCAAGATGGGGCAAGCTATGAAGAAAAAGAGGTTTAATGGACTCAGTTCCCCATGGCTAGGGAAGCCTTGCACAGTCATGGCAGAAAGTGAAGGAGGAGCAAAGTCACATCTCACATGGTAGCAGGCAAGAGAGAGTGTGCAGGGAAACTGCCCTTTATAAAACCATCAGATCACATGAGACTTATTTACTATTACAAGAACAGCACAGGACAACCCACCACCTTGAGTCAATTACCTACTATGAGGTCCCTCCCATGACATATGGGAATTATGAAAGCTATAATTCAACATGAAATTTGGGTGGAGACACAGCTAAGCCATATATCAGACAATGATACTTTTAAACACCAGCCAAGAACAAATGTGCAGGTCCACTGCTCCTGGTATCACTGGAACCACAACAACTACATTCTTTGACTACATAGTTACATTTCATATTTGTTTGATTTTATGCTATAACCATAGAGACGACTTATAAGATTTTGCCTCATTAATTAATATATTGAGGAAAATGAATAAATAATGTTTCAGTACTTATTGAGTAGCTGTATTTCTATCATTACTATATGCGGAACATAGAAGTTTTACGTGTGTGTGTGTGTGTGTGTGTGTGTGTGTGTGTGTGTGTGTCTGAGACAGAGAGAGAGAGAGAAATATATGCAGAAGAGCAGGAAAGAAAGAAAACATTTATCTTATTCTTTGGAAAATCTACATATGACATATAGTAGCATAATCCTCAAAAATGTATAATTCTTTTTTCTTTATAATTTTACTTTAAGTTCTGGGGTATATGTGCAGATCTTGCAGCATTGTTACATAGGTACACACATGCCATGGTGGTTTGCTGCCTCCATCCCCGTCACCTACATTAGGTATTTCTCCTAATGTTATCTGTCCCCAATCTCCCCAACCCCTGCTATCCCTCCCTAGCCCTCACCCCGCAACAGACCCCACTTTGTGCCATGTCCATGTGTTCTCATTGTTCAACACCCACTTATGAGTGATAACACTTGGTGTTTGGTTTTCTGTTCTTGTGTCAGTTTGCTGAAAATGATGGTTTCCAGATTCATCCATGTCCCTGCAAAGGACATGAACTCATCCTCTTTTATGGCTGCATAGTATTCCATGGTGCATTTGTGCCACATTTTTTTATCCAGTCTGTTATTGATGGGCATCTGGGTTGGTTCCAAGTCTTTGCTACTGTAAACAGTGCTGCAATTAACATACATGTGCATGTTTTTTAATAATAGATTAATTTATAATGGGTATATACCCAAAGTATATTAATTATATACTAGGTATATAATTAATTGGGTATATACCCAGTAATGGGATTGCTGGGTCAAATGGAATTTCTATTTCTAGGTCCTTGAGGAATCGCCACACTGTCTTCCAAAATGGTTGAACTAATTTACACTCCCACCAACAGTGTAAAGTGTTCCTATTTCTCCATCCTCTCCAGCATCTGTTGTCTCCAGATTTTTTAATGATCACCATTCTAACTGGCATGAGATGGTATCTTAATGTGGTTTTGATTTGCATTTTTCTAATGACCAGTGATAATGAGCTTTTTTCATATTTTTGTTAGCAACATAAATGTCTTCTTTTGAAAAGTATCTGTTCATATCTTTTACCCACTTTTTGACGGGGTTGTTTCAAAAACATATTATTATAAAAATTTCTATATGATTCTTTATTGTCTAAATGGTACTTAAAACAAGGTGACTAAGTAGAACATCTTTGGAAACCAAAATATGGTTTACATCTTGGCTCCCCCATTTAATGTTTGAGTGAGTTCTGACAAGTATTAGGCCACACTATGGACCTTATATTCTTCTTCTGTAAAATAGAGATGATAATCTAGAAACAAGAAAACAAAAATCCCACTTCTCAGGACTCCTGTGTGAATTCCATGAAATCTAGCCTATGAGTAGTACCTGACTTATATTAATTAATAGCTGTAGACCTTATGCTTCCTATATTTTTTCAAGCCTTGATATCCATAACCTCACACTCTCCCAGTTCTCACCCTATTTCTCACTCATGGATACCAAAGCAGAGCATGGATGACTTTCATAATCTGTTCCTGCTGCCTTTTCAGTTTCATCTCCCAGCTAAGTCTTGCCAGAATTCACCAAACCATGACACCAAAAATGCCATTAAATTGAGTTGTTTTATCCTCCATACCTCATGCTCTATTTTGCTGTTTATAATACTCCTTGTTCACATCACCATTTCTCACAGATAGATATTTAGGTTGGTGCAAAAGTAATCGCAGTTTTTCTGACATTGAAAGTAATGGAAAAAACTGTAATTACTTTTGCACCAACTGAATAAAACCTCTATCTTAGACTTTTGGGGGAATTTGGGGAAAAGGCAAATAGGGTGTATAATGTCTGAGCTGTGAGTACATGGCAGTGTAATGGAAAGTAGACACATTAGCAGAAAATACTTGTTCCTACTATTATTAACATATTTCCAGCTTGTTGAGCCCATCCAAATGTGACAAAATCTAAAGAAAATAAATTAAACACCAAACATGTTAGCCTCCAAGATAAATCACATTATGAAAGAATTTTACAAAGTAAAAGAAAGCAAAAAATTAAGAAATCAGTGTTGTAGGCCCATGGGCTTCAGTAGGAACAAACCAGATGCAAATAAAGTCTTCAATGCAGGGCAATAAAACCTAACACACTAACATCCATCAAGGATTTGCCCCCTTTCTTTCCCTAAATCTTGAGCAGAGTACACAAATGGTTTCCCTACAATAAATATAAGCTAATAGTTAACAATAATAAATGAGTACAATTTATTTCATAGAAATTCTGAAGTGAAAGGGAAGCTCTTGAGGAATTCTTTTCTAGAATACCTCACTTATCTCAATGGATCAGAAATGGAATGCCCAAAGAAAGGAAGGCAAGGGCAGCATTGGAGAGTAGAGAACAATAAGAGGATCTGATCATATTCACTACTATGGGAAAACCAGATAAGGAGTTAACCAGTCACTAGTAAAAGGATTGCCAGTATTAAGACTCTAGGGAATGCTTATGGTCTTAATTCCTTGTTTATCTGGGTGTACAGAAAAGTATTTTGTTGCTCATCTATGATTTGCAAAGTTTCTAAATTAGTTCCAATAGCTCTAATTTATCCCAAATCTGCTGATTGAAATAGAGTTTTGTGAAATATGTTGTATTAAGAAGAAATGGTGAGGAATTCCAGATAAGAACAAATAACACTCAGGACTGAAAGGAAATGCTTAACAAAAAGAAAAGAAAACTATCATATGAATCATCCTACTACCTCTAGAGAATGTGTTCAAGTCTTATTATCCCGTTTGCCAACCAGGCTTCAACACATTGGCACTGTGAAGTATGTTCATGCCCCTCTTAGAGGCAAACTATACCCCTGTTTTCAGAAGCCACTTAGCCCCCATAATATTATGTGAAACTATCTATTTCCTTACTCTGTTAATGTGGTGTTAGACAGCATTCATGGATAAGATATTAATGATTTTTCCTGATGAGTTGAAAAGTACACACCACATAGTGCTTCCAGAAAGGTATGAATTTGTTGAATGGAGAGAAATACAATTCAGCTTTTATGAAGAAGTTCAGTTACATACAAAAGACAGAATGCCTCCCATGACAGACATGGAATTCAGTGCTTGAAAGTAGCCTCAAGCAATGTCACTGAATTTTTTTCACTGTGTCCTGGATACAGCTACACTTTGCCTTTAATATGACATTTTTTACTATCTGTTCCTCTATCTTCTAATTGCAAACATATGAATCAGTCCTTTGACTACAAATATACAAATGACACTTCTAAATGTTAAGAAATGAGCACATAGAGAACATACACTGACACTAATTTTACTTTTTATTGTAAACCTTTTAAACAAACTTTATAGCCCTACACTTCAACCTCTTGCCATTTAGTCAGTCATTTCAGGACATGATGTAAAAATGGTATTTCTCATCCTACAAGATAAGATATCCAGAAACACCATTTCACCAAGGTGTATTTGAAACCTACTGACACCATTAAAGCAACATGTAACAAAGCCATGTTGTAGAGAAATCATTATGCTGATGTTTCCCGCTTTCAGTTGATACTTATCAGCATTTCCTTTGAGTTACTTCCTGTCCAATTGCTTAATAATTACCAATTCACTGTACTTTTCATGATGACAGATGGGATAGGTTCTGCTGTTAGGTCCATTTCACAGATGATGAAACTGACAGGCTCAGAAGTAGTGTTAACAAAGCCAGGATGTGACTCCAGAGTATAAATTGGTAGCCACTATTATGCTGCTTTTTTGGGAGAGCACACTTATATTTGGAACTTTAGAAAGAATCTTTATGTCCAAATTTATTATATTAGATCCCTCTCTTTTTAACATTTTACAATGGTGTAAAATATAAACATGTTATTCTTTCATGTCCGATACAAAACAATCTACATTTAGGTATCTTACCAGTTTTGAGCATCATCACAGAAAAGAAGATTGGTAAAAAATGACACAGGCTTAGCTGAGTTGAAAGTGAGGCAGCAAGTCATCTTATGATTAATTCCATTGTAAGAGCCTTGGATGATGCTGCCTTTTGGAAATTTCACAGTAAGAGGCTGAATTTCTTGGCCATCAAGAGGCCTTGCTGTGGGAATCTTGACATGTAGAGTTGACATTCTGTTTAAAAATTAAAAAAAAATGTTTCATTAGCTCAAAATACCTGCAAGTAATTGGCTCTAAATGTATATTTCATTTTTTGGAATCCTCAGGAAAATTATAAAAAAGTATTTGTAATCATGTGCCCAATTATTAAAGATATCTTTGTATCATCTCATATAAGATGGATGATATTTTAATTTACCTAAGAACCACTTCAGATGATCAAATGTTCCTTTCAGAATACCAATGACATTCTTCACAGAAATAGGAAAAATTCTAAAATTGATATGAAACCACACACAAAAAAACAGAGTAGCCAAAGCAATGCTAAGTAAAAAGCCCAAAACTGGAAAGATTATATTGCCTGACTTCAAATTATAGTACATAGGTATAGTAACCAAAACAGCATGGTACTGGCATAAAAACAACCACTTGAAACAATGGAACAGAATAGAGAAACCAGAAACAAATGCACACAAATACCATGTGCTTATTTTTGACAAAGATACCAAGAACATACACTGGGGAAAAGACACTATTCAGAAAATGGTGGTGGAAAAACTGAATATTTATAAGTGAAAGAATGAATTTAGACACCCATCTTTCATCCTATATACAAAAATCAAATTAAAGTGGATTGACTTAAAATATAAGACCACAAACTTTAAAACTACTACAAGAAAACCTTGTGGAAATCCCCAGGATATTGGGCTGGGTAAAAAAATCTTGAAAAATGCCCTAGAAGCACAGGAAACCAAAGCAACAATGGACAAATGGGATCACACCCGGTTAAACAACCTCTGTACAGCAAGAGATACAGTCAACAAAGTGAAAATACAATGCACAGAATGGGAGAAAATATTTGCATACCACACATCTGACAAGGGATTAGTAACCAGAAGACATAAGGAGCTCAAACAACCCTATAGGAAAAAAAACCTTATAGTCCAATTTAATAATGGGCAAAAAAATTGATAGACATTTCTCAAAAGAAGACATAAAAATGAAATGGTGGGCCAGGCATGGTGGCTCATGCCTGTAATCCTAGCACTTTGGGAGGCTGAGCAGGGCAGATCACCTGAGGTCAGGAGTTTGATATCAGGCTGGCCAACATGGTGAAAACCCGTCTCTACTAAAAATACAAAAATTAGCCTGGCATGGTGGTGGGTGCCTGTAATCCCAGCTAGTCTGGAGGCTAAGGCAGAAGAATCACTTGAACCTGGAGGCGGAGTTTGCAGTGAGCCAAGTTTACACCACTGCACTCCAGCCTGGGTGACAGAGCAAGATTCGGTCTCAAGAAAAAGAAGAAGCCATAAAAAAGAATGAGATTCAGTCATTTGCAACAACATTGATGGAACTCGAGATGATTATGTTAAGCATAATAAGCCAAGCACAAAAAGACAAATATATGTTCTCATTTATATACGGGATCTAAAAATCAATACAATTGAACTCATGGACATAGAGAGTAGAAGGACAGTTACGAGAGTCTGGGAGGGGTAGTGGGGGTCTGTGGAGGAGGTTGGGATAGTTAATGTGTACAAAAATATAGAAAGACCTACTATTTGATAGTACAGCAGAGTGACTATAGTCAATAATCAGTTAATTGTACATTTAAAATAAAGAGTGTGATTGGAGTATAACACAAAGGATAAATGCTTGATGAGATGGATACTGCATTCTCTATGATATGCTTATTTCACATTGCATGCCTGTATCAAAATTTCTCATGTATCCCATAAATTTATATACCTACTATGTAGCTACAAAAATTAAAAAGAAATCCCTCACTACCCACAAACATTTTAAATGTTTTTAATACTTATTTTCTACATTTGCCCTTTCATGTTTAAGCTTTTAATACATTTGTAATGAATTTTTGTGAATTGTGTGAAGCAGAGATATAATATAGTTTGGAATATTTCATACAGATATTCACTCACTCCATCATTTACTGAATAATAACTTCCTATCTCCAAAGAACTGCAATAACATCTTCATCATAAATCCAGTAACTATTCATATATGGACCTTTTTCAAGGTGATTTTATTCCTTGGTCATTTTATCTACTCCTGTACCACTATCATATTGGTTTTGTCTTGATGTTCCCTATGGCAAGCATTTCCCATCTTATTCTTCTTCCTCTTGGAGAGCTTAGTTATTCTTTTTCTTTCTTTTTTTTTTTACAGAGTCTCCCTCTTGTCAGGCTAGAGTGCAGTGATGCCATCTCAGCTCACTGCAACCTCCACCTCCCTGGTTCAAGCAATTCTCCTGCCTCAGCCTCTCAAGTAGCTGCAACTACAGGAACGTGCCACCATACCCAGCTAATTTTTGTATTTTTAGTAGAGACGAGGTTTCACCATGTTGGCCAGGATGATCTCAGTCTCTTGACTTTATGATCTGCCTGTCTCAGCCTCCCAAAGTGCTGGGATTATAGGTGTTTGCCACCACACCCAGCTAGCTATTCTTGATCCTTACCCTTCCATATAAAGTTAAAATTTTACTTTTCAATCTCCATGAAAACTTTAGTTGAATTTTTATTAAAGTCACATGAGATATGTGAATTTATTTGTGGAAAACTTTTTTTACAGCATTGAACATTCCAATCCATGAATATGGGTATATTTATTTATGAGTTCTTTACGTTTTATAATTTTCTTTATACAGTTCCATATAGTTCATTCATATGTTTTGTTCAGTTTTATCTATTATCTTTTAAATTTTGATGTTATTGGCCGGGCGCAGTGGCTCAAGCTTGTAATCCCAGCACTTTGGGAGGCCGAGACGGGTGGATCACAAGGTCGAGAGATCGAGACCATCCTGGTCAATATGGTGAAACCCCGTCTCTACTAAAAAAAAATACAAAAATTAGCTGGGCACGGTGGTGCGTGCCTGTAATCCCAGCTACTCGGGAGGCTGAGGCAGGAGAATTGCCTGAACCCAGGAGGCGGAGGTTGCGGTGAGCCGAGATCGCGCCATTGCACTCCAGCCTGGGTAACAAGAGCGAAACTCCATCTCAAAAAAAAAAAAAAAAAAAAAAAAAAAATTTGATGTTATTATAAATAGTAATTTAAAGTTGTGTGCTGTATGTATGCTGAAATTACATTGAATTTTAAATATTAAAATTATGTTTGCCTATTTTGATAAGTGATCTTCCCAGTTTTAAAAAATTTCCTGTAGATTCTTTGAATTTCCTGCATGCAAAAATAATGTAATATACAGACAATGACACTTCTGAGTTTTATTTCCTAACCCTTATACATTTTGTTTTTCTCATCCCCCTGCCATGTGTTAGGTTCTCTATTAAAATGCTTGAGGGAAGCAGTGATAATAAGCACTGCTGATTTTTCTTTTGTTAAAAGGTAATTCACATATATTCCAGTATCAATAATTATATTTGCTCTAGGCTTATATGACAGGACCTTAAACAATTAAAGAACATCTATTTTATTACTGTTTGTTGAGAGTTTTTCCATGAATAAAAATTTTATTAAATGCCTTTATTCTCAACCTGTGAAAATTATCATATCATTATTCTCTTTAATTTGTGAATGTGGTAGATAATATAAAATGACATTTTAGATCTTTTGATGATAGACAAGCCTTGAAATACTGAAATACAAACAATTTGGTCATGATCTATCTTATATTCACATGGTTTGATTCTTTATGGACAATTATATGTTTGTTCATAACACAGCTTAGGCAATAATTCGCCTTTCTTATACTGTCATTTCCTGATTTCATAATAGAAATTTCTGAGGTCATAAAACAAATTAGGGCACATTATCTATTATTCTATAATTTGATATATCTGTTTCCTGAAAGGTCAGTAAAACTTGATTGTAAAATCATCAGAGGACGTTTTCTTAAGAAATTTCAAGTACTGACTCAAAGGCTTTCTATTTATTCCCAGCATATTTTTAGTAAATTATACATTTCTAAACTTTCACATTTAAGTATTCACATGTATTGGAATAGATCTCCTTGTAGTATTTTGATTATCTCATTTTTTTCTTTGGATTTATGGTTACGCTTCCTTATTTTTTTTTTTAATTTTTTATTGGATTTTAGGTTTTGGGGTACATGAGCAGAGCATGTAAGACAGTTGCATAGAAACACACATGGCAGTGTGCTTTTCTTTCCTTCTCCCCTTCACGCTTCCTTATTTCTAACATTATTTAACTGCCTCTTCTCTGTTTTATTCCTTGTCAAATTCACTGTATTAGTATCCATTGTATCAGTCTTTCAAAGAAGAAACTTTTGGTTCCAATGAGTTTCTGTTTTGTAATTTTTTATATTCCTTTCATTTCTACTGTGTAGAAATTAAAATTCTACCTTCTACACTCCATGAGGTTAGTCTAAGATTCTATTTTTTAATCTTACTTATTAAGTTCAATGTTTAAAATTTCCAATCATTTTTTTCTTTCCTAATATCAGTATTTAACATTGCACGTTTCCATGTATGGATAATCTTACTGTACTTTATTAAGGTATTTTTCTTCAATCACTGAAATTTTAATGTTTATTTCATAAAACAGATAAAGTAAACAATGATGCAGGCCTAATTGGTTTTGCAAAGAAAGCAGTAGAAGTCCTAGCAGCTGTTTTAAGTTTAGTTTTCAGCTCTAATGTCCAGATGGTGTTTACAGTACTTGATTGTATTACACACTCATGACTCTCAGTGAATGTTTTCAAGATTTGGAATCTAGTATTTTAATTCTTATTTATTTATGAAATTCATTATGATTTCTTCTTACAATCTCTGTAGAATTTTTTTAACATTTTCTAACTCAAGGTTGATCTTGTTATCTTTACTGACACTCAGTTTATTATATTTATTTTTGGAGAATGTCTTATGATGTCAACTCTTTAAAAACTTTTGAGACTTAACTTATAACTATAGAATCATACGTTGTCAATTTTTATAAATGTCTCATGACTGATTAAAAATGTGTATTCTCTAATACTAAGGTGTAATTTATACATGTTAAGTGAATGAAGCTTGTTACAAATATTGTTCACATATCTTGTCTCTGGGCTCATCAACACTTCTGATACATGTTTTAATATCCTAGAGTTATGAAGGACTAGTCAAATTTTCCCAATTTAAATTTGGAAGTTACATATTTTAAGACAATTTTAATTAGGCATAGAATTTTAGAATTCTGTTGGCTTCCAGGTGAATTTAATCTTTTACAATTATTTGATTACTTTTACATCTTTAAAACACACTTTACTTATCAGAGGTTATTGCATTTGAAATTAATACTGCTACCCAGTTTTATTTTGGTTATGCTGTTATATCTCTTCCTATTTTTTCACTTTGGTGCTTCTCAACTGAGAGTGATTTTGTTCCCCAGGAGCCATGTAACAATGTGTGGAGATATATATTTTTTGTCACATCAAGGGGAGGATTGCTATTGGGTAGAGGCTACGGACGCTGCTAAACATTCCATAACAAACAACATAGCCTCTCACAATACACACATACATATATTTATATATATACATATATGTATACAATGTATATATATGTATATACATACATTTATAAATATATATAGATGTATTTATATATATAAATATATGTATATACATATATATGTATAGGAACCTTTCAGGTATAATTAAGGTGTCTGATTAATTGACTTTGAATAAAACAAGAAAGAGATTATCATGGATGGGTCTGACACAATTAGTTGAGATCATAAAAAAGGCTTTGAAAGTCAGAGGCAGAGAAGTTTGATAGATGGTATACTTTTGGCCTTGAATTACTTGTATACTATGTTGTGAGGATGTGACCACATGGCTAGGACTTGAGCATGGACTGAGCGTGTCCCTAGTCAATAAATGATGCTTTAGTTCTATAAGGACCATGAAATTAATTCTGTCAACAACTTGAGAGGTTGGAAGAAGATTGAGCCTCAAGTGAAAGTGCCACTCTAGCCAGCACCTTGACTTCTGCTTATTGAGAAACTCAGCAGAGAATACAGCTAAGCCAGCTGGACTACTAAGTCAGAGAAACTGCAAGATAATACACAAATTCATGTTGTTTGAGACATCAAATGCATGATTTAAGGCATTACATTTGTGATAATTTTTCACACAGCAATAGAAAACTAATATATAGATTTTTTTTTTTTTTTTGGAGACGGAGTCTTGGTCTGTGACCATGCTGGAGTACAGTGGCACGGTCTCAGCTCACTGCAACCTCCGTCTCCTGGGTCCAAGTGATTCCCCTGCCTCAGCCTCCCAAGTAGCTAGAACTACAGGCACACGCCACCCACACGCAGCTAATTTTTTGTATTTTAGTAGAGATGGGGTTTCACCACGGTCAGGATGGTCTCGATCTCCTGACCTCATGATCTGCCCACCTCGGCCTCCCAAAGTGCTGAGATTACAGGTGTGAGCCATCATGCCTGACCTATATTGAATTTTCAAGCTTGCTTATTACACCGTGAAGACAGACACAGCAAAGGAAAAAAAAAAAAAAAAAATATATATATATATATATATATACACACACACACAAGAAAATTCAATGACTGTGAGATAATTAGAGGGTTTTTTTTGTTCCTTTTTGTGTTAAATATTTTAATAGTTCTTTCCAACTATAGAAACAGGTCAGACATTATTTATAACTCTTATATAACAGACACAAACAAAAAAAAGCATATAAAGAAGATGTGATAAATTCACAGTAAGTATTTACCTGAAATAGTTTTGAGGTAAAATTTTGACATCCATCACAGTTGTTATATTCAAAGGAACAGGAGTGAAAAATATAAACGGAGGGTCAAACAATAACTTTGGTGATTTTACTTCTCCAATAAGAGATAATATTCTATAGCAAACTGGAATACCATTTAAAAGCATAGGAATATCTGCTGTGTATTTTCCAGGATGTTCTAATGAAATACAAATTTTAAGGGTATTTAAAATTAGTTAAAACACACAAAACCATTTACATAGCTGAAACATTACTAAATTTCAAAATGTACTATGATGTTACAACTATTTAATGGGGCAGAATAAATTACCCAGAAATTAGATTTAGCTTGCTGGAGAACGTAAGACATGTAATGAGGTGCTATTGAAAGAAAAAAATTTTTAAATACAGCTTGACTAGAAATGGAGAAATTAGCCAAGCATGGTGGTGCGCACCTCTAGTCCCAGCTACTTGGGAGGCTGAGGCAAAAGAATCGTTTAAACCCAGGAAGCAGAGGTTGCAGTGAGCTGAGATCGTACCACTGCACTCTAACCTGGGTGACAGGGCAAGACTCTGTCTCCAGCAACAACAACAAAACAGTAAGGTTGGGAGCCTAATAAAGGAAACCATAGATTTGACTGCTACAGCCCAGTCCCATATTGAAGGAAAAGTCAAAAGAAAATGTTTCTTATTTCCTTCTAGATTGACCAGTCCAGTCCATTTCATTTGAGTATAAATGTTGACAGCGACATAAAGGAGAAGTTCTGAACAGAAATACGGATGGTAGGTTTAACTGGAATAGCCTTTGTGCTATTTCTTTCAAACCAGAATATGGTAGAAACAGAGAAGAAACTAGAGAGATACATAATGAAACTTAATTATTTTTATAAAACAAATCTCAGAATGCAAAGAAAAGTTGATAATTTATATCATATTTTCAAAAATTTAAAGAGAGGTAATAAAAAGTTTGAACATTTTTAAACCTACTAGTCATAATATGCTATGAGATGTTTCTCATACACAAAACTAAAATGATACAATGCCATGCTAATAGATATAGTAGAATATCAAGTTATTGCAACACAGTGCTAATAGAATATTATTGAGAGAGAGAACACACTGCTCAATGAACTCTCTAATAAGCTTAAAAGCTATAATAGATTCTTTCCCTGCCTGAATTTCTACTGATAAGTGAGCCAGTTGTGGGTATTTTATCTGGATTACCACATGTGTAAAACAGTGTCCTCAGAATTTGGGTATTTTATAAGTCTAATAAAATGAAAAACAGATTACATTGTACTATAGTGACTGAATGTGATAAGCAGAATTTTGAGAATGTTCCTCAAAAAATTAAAAATAGAACTACCATATGATCCAGTAATCTCAAAGGAAATGAAATCAGTATCTCAGATATCTACACACCCACATTTATTGCAGCATTATTTAAAATAGCCAAATTATGGAAGTGTCCATTGATGGATGAGTGGATAAATAAATTGTGATGTGTGTATACACAATAGAATGCTATTCATTCATACAAAAGAAGAAAATCCTGCCCTTAGGAAAAAAGAAAAAAAAATGATTGAATTTAGAGGACATTATTATAAGTAAAATAAGCCAGACACAGAAAGACCAATTACTGTATAATCTCACCCATGAGGAATTTAAAAGTTCAAACTCATGGAAGCAGAGTGCAGAATATTGTCTTCTAGGGGCTTGGGAGTAGGGGAAATGGGGAGATGTTGATCAAAGGGTACAAACTTTCAGTTATAAGATGAACAAGTTTCTGGGGATCTAATATACAACATGGGTGATGATGGATAAGTTAAGTAATTTGATTGTGGCAGTCATTACACAATGTATACAAAAATCAAATCCTCACATTGTACACCTTGAATATATACCAACTTTGTCAATTAAATAATGTAACATTCAAAAATAAGATCAATAAAATTGCATTATTCATAATTATTTAAATTAAAAGGAAAAAATAATCTAAATTTCTAACTACATAATAAAACAATCTCATATATGAAGGATAAATTGAAAGTATAACCACAAATATAGGAGAAAAGATCTTACTTGGACAGAAATTTATGGAAACATTGTACTTTTCCAGTGGTCGTAGAAGCCCCTTTAGTACACTGAAGTTGAATGTGCCATCTTTGAAAAGGTTGCCAGTATTACTAATATCCAAAGTCCATGTCACATGGTGTTTGGTAATATTATATAAAACAAGATTCTGCTCACACACACAAAAAGATAAAAAAAAGTCAAAAATTATAGCAGGTAATATAAAATTTAATTGTATTACATCTCAATTTGATGAGCCTATTTATAAATTCAAATGATTAGTCATAGATAAAATGCTTCAAAATGATAGTAGAGAAACAAAGGGGTTTTAATCTCATGAAATGTTTTCTATGGCAATGAAGGGGTAGATACACTATTCCATACATTTTTCAAAACCCAAAGCATCTGTATACTAAAAGCGTGAACTTAAATATATGTAAATCAAAATCAATCAATCCAGCTGTAATACAGTGCATCACAGTCTGTAGTCCATCTTGGAATGTTAATGCACTGTATTACACATGTGTGAAATAACCTTACTGAATGTAGTTGGGGTGAGGAGAAATTGACCTTAGTAATAACCTCATTGAATGTAGTTAGGGGTGGGGAGATACTGACCTTAATAACTTTGAAAAACTGTGTTTTTAACTGAAAGCTACAAGGCTAAACACTAAGAATTGTGTATGAATAATGTACTCTAGGTGATAAATGTGTAAGCAATTTTAATAGGCCACAGGTTAGAAATTCTGAAGCTTCTTTACTTGAAATTAGGATTAAAAAATCAGTAAATAAAAAGTAAAAAATGAGAGGCAGATTTCTCATTGTCAAATAAATAAGTCAAAAATGAGTAAGAGAGAAAGATGGGAATTGACACTGTGGTGCTAGATTAGAGATATCAATCTGAACTGGTGTTAGATGGATATATGAATAGATAGAGAGACACATATATAGATAATTATAGGTATACATATATAGGGATTAACCTATATACACATATTTCCTATTTGTTGAAAGGCCCTAGAACCTGTGACACTGCAGTAGCAACTCATATACACAATACTTAGATATCAGTTTCTAAACTCTACAATAAAAAGTACTAGGGGATTTTGGAGAAATGTTGATTTTAGAGCTGGAGCAAGTAAAATAAAAGATGAGCCTGGAACATTTGATAGTGCCAGTAAATAAGAAAATACTTAAAAATCACCAGGATGGGAGCCTGTCAAAGGACCAATGTAAAAGAACTTATAATGGCCAAAGCAGAAACACTTTTAGCAACAAAATAAATAATGTTAAATTATAACTGAAAGTATAAAAACAAATATATGTGGTTTATACTGATATATTATGTAATAACATAACTACATAGAGGAAATAATCTTTGTTAAAGAAAATTTCTGAGTAATGTATGTAAATATTCCCCTCCAGAAAGTAGAGCTTAACCTTCTACCACTTGATTGTAGGCTGAAATTGATCACACACTTCCAAAGCATAGAGTATGGAAAGTGAAAAATAGTAACTTCACAGTAGAGAAACCTAGCAGATATCACCAGTAATTAGTCATTTTCATATCATGCATTCTTTATCACAAATTATTTCACCTCAGTAACATTCTTCTTCAAAACCCATGGAAAATAAAAACTCAGTCTAGTCAGGTGAAAAACACCAGACAATCTCAAATTAAAAGATATTTTCAAAAAATGCTAGACAAATACACTTTAAAATCATCAAGGTCATAAAAAATAAACAAGATTGCAATCCTATCACAGGTTGGATGAGACTAAATGCAGTGTACACTCCTGGCTGGACCCTGGGACAGTAAATGGACATTAGTGAAAAACCATTTAATTCTGAATAGAGTCTGCTGTTTAGTTAATAATGTACCAACATTAATTTCTCATTAAAAAACAGCTCTATGGTTGTGTAAGGTAACATTAGGTAAAGTTGGGTGAAAGCTATCAGAAATTCTCTGTACTATCTTTGAAACATTTTAGCAAATCTGAACGTTATGGGCCTGACTTGCAGGCAGACTCTTCTTTCTAATGTTAACTGCTATTAAAATAAAACTATCAACCAGGTTTGTTCATCAACTTTACTCTTCAAATATTTGAAGAGTACAGAAGAAGCCATACAATTATCACCACAACAAAATATATACTTCACTTCTCTCTAAAGCATGATTGATTTAAAATACATAGGATAAACAATGAGTCGAATTTATTCCCAAGCCTTGAAGCACCTAAGCATCTATTTAGCTCTAATATTGGTATATCCTAACTTTAAAAAGGTAATTTAGACATTCTAAATAAAACAACACGTTTTAATACAGAAAGTGAGCACAAAATCATACCAGCCATTTTAAGCTAATTTTTGTCATTTTAAAATGAGGAAAAGATATTACACTCCAAAAATACTACCTACCTTCTACAGCTTATGATTCTGAGAATGGAACTGATACAGTTATCTATAGTGAAACGTTGGTTAATTTGTTCAGTATGTTTTGTGTTATTTTTTCTTTATATTTTGTCAAAATGATATATGTATGCAGCTTACCCAAAAAGTTCAAAATACTTGTTTTAAAGCAGTTGTCTCACTAAACTCCTCATCAAAAGTTCTGCTTCCCAGAAGCAACCAATTTTAGCCAATTATGATTTGAACTTTTATCTAGAATAGCTTTAATCTAAATGTGATGCCAATATGGCTTATGTTCGTTTTTATTGCTGCCATAACAGATTACCACAAACATAGGGACTTAGGAAAACACAAATTAATTATTATGTATCACAGTTCTGTAGATTAAAGGTTCAACACAAATATCATTTGGCTAAGATCAACGTGTTAGCAGGAAGTGTGTTCCTTTCTGAAAGTTCTAGGAAAGAGCCCTTTCATTGCCTTTTCTAGTTTCTAGAGGCCAGGCGCATTCCTCAGTCAGTGGCCTTCTTCCTCTATGTTGAACACTGCATTACTCTAACCCTTCTGTCATCACATCTCCCTCTGAGCACAGTTAGAAAGGTTCTCTGCTTTTAACCACTCATGTTATTAGATTGGAGCCACCTAGATAATTCAGGAAAATCTCCCCTTCTCTGAGTTCCTCACCATAATTACATCAGCAAAGTATCTTTTGTGACATAAGGTCATGTATTCACAAATTTTGGAGATGAATACTTAAGTATCTTTGGGCCCATTATCTGCCTGCTGCATGGCTATTTATTTTATGGTTTACCAGCTTTAGATACTGTCTTTTGACTGCCAACTAGGAAAGATATAGATTCAGCTCATTGGCACTACCTATACTCCTTGCTCCACTTCCCAATTTTAGATATTTATTCTTTTTTAATTCTTACATTAGTCACTTGGTAAGTTTAAGCAAAATATATATACCTCTTGCTTTCTCTCTCTCTCTCTCTCTCTACTTTAGATAACACTCCTTAATTACCCACGATGTACAATGAATTTTTTTCCAAGATCCTTAACCCTTTTGTCAACTTAACCTTCCATAAACATATTGAGTCTTCTCTGAATCATATATCTTATATATTATGACTGCAAATATCATTCATGGGAAGTTTCAGTAGGTCAGAGTCACATTTCTTTTTCTCCATGAGGCCAACGTACCACTTTTCCCTCAAAAGAGAGAATGCTATTGGTGTCTAGACCTTCTTTGCTTACATGGATTGAATAAAATTTCAATGATGTAAAATAATTTCACATTTATGAAGGGATAGTTTTTTATCTGAAATCCATTAAATTCAGTTAATTGAAGTTGCCTTTCTAGCCCCACATATAAGCTCTTTTGTATCCTTGAAGTTCTATTTGAAGTAGAAGTTTTCGTACTTTTCATACTCTAAACAGTAACATTTTAATTTCAGTAGATCCTTCATGGATCTCTAACTATAATTGTATATAGCACTCTGCTATTTTTTATTAATTCAATGCTAAATATTCTCTCCATATAAATTTTCTTGAATGCTATAAAGGTTCAAAATTGGTTACAGGTATAACAATATATAAGACAAAGGGGACACTGCAAATACAAATTCTATAATGTGTCCTGAGCTTCCTTTTTTATGCATGTCTCTCTGTTTTTCTCTCTAATTAGAAGAGAGGCAGAGATATCCTGTAAGAAAAAAATGGTAACTTAATATAGAAACTACTTTATTACATACTTGGATATTTTTTCAGATTTATTATTGCCTCCCACTACATTTTTGTTTATCTATGGAATATATTTCATATTAATTTAAATCATAGCTTCCATTTGTATAAGGAGAACGGGATAATTTAATTACATTAAAATTATTTTAATATTTTATTAATTATATGCATATATGTATTTATAAATAGCTGTATATTTATTTGAAAATTACTCCTGAGAAATTTTATATGTAAGTTTTCTAAAAATGCCAATATTCTTCCTCCAATAGCATAAATGACTGGGGAGAAATTAATCATAGGGAATGGTTTATATATATAATCAAATTAATCATGAAAAGAGTTGTGAACTGTATCGCTTCTTTATACATACCTGAGTTTTTGTGACGTTTTTATTAAGATTCATCTCATATAAAGGGATTTCCAATACAAACTTAGTAGTAGATAATTTCAGTGGTGATCGTAATGCTGTAAGAGAAACGTAATATACTGATAAAGTGTCAACAGATATAAGCTCATAGGTACTTCTTAGTATACTTTAAAACATTAAACAATAATAAAATAAGACTTGCTTCTGTATATTTTTATACTCCCAACCAGAAAATAAAATAACATTTAAAAACATTTCTATAATATCTTGGTGTATCAAATTAACAAAGTTCCATTTTGTGGAGTTTTTTAATGGTAATGAATTATAAGCAAAATAGGAAACTAATCCTTGAGATAATAAAGAAGATGATAGTAAGCTAAGAAAAAAGTAAAGAGAGCTAAAATGATCTCCACACTAGAGTTTGAACAACACAGAAGTAAACAGAAATACACAATAAAAATTTACTGGAATAGAGAAAATATATAGCTGGCATAGCATGTAACATTTCCTAGATAAAACAAGAAAACTCTGGGAGTAAATGACTATTCCTGTAAGATTAATAAAAGGAATATCTGTAAAACTCATTGCATTAGAGAAGATATTATAATCTACTGGAAAAAAAAAACTATGCTTCTTGAAACTTACCTCTAAAACATTCGTAATTCTCAATGAAAACTAAAGGGTATCACAAGCTTTTGAAAAAATAAGGAAGTACAATAAAAACATTTTCTGATCCTAAAAATGTATCTATCTTACATGTGTTTTTATTATGCCACTGGAATTAATGGATGATTCGACAGGCAGTCAGAACATATGGGATAGGAGAAAGTTGTAGATAGTGTTAATCATTGTGATACTCCCAAAACCTGTCATGTGAAACCCTAAAAGAGACAATGTTACAGCAGATATATAAAAAGTGGCACATGTAATATTGCCTTCCCATTTACAACCTGGCAACTAGGAATAACCAGGGAAAATAATATGTTGACTATATCTTTAAAAACAAAGCATTGTATTGGCATATTACTTGAACATTTAGAGAGCCTTATTTAATTTAAACAAATAAGTTATACTCTACCCATCACAGATTTTTGTAGAATCATTTTCTAAAGAAACCAGGGCCGGGCACGGTGGCTCACACCTGTAATCCCAGCACTTTGGGAGGCACAGGGGGGTGGATCACGAGGTCAAGAGATCGAGACCATCCTGGTCAACACGGTGAAACCCCGTCTCTACTAAAAATACAAAAAATTAGCTGGGCATGGTGGTGCGTGCCTGTAATCCCAGCTACTCAGGAGGCTGAGGCAGGAGAATTGTCTGAACCCAGGAGGCGTAGGGAGGTTGCTGTGAGCCGAGATCACGCCATTGCACTCCAGCCTGGGTAACAAGTGCGAAACTCCATCTCAAAAAAAAAAAAAACAAGAAACCAAACCACCTAAGATTAAAGATCACAGACTAACGTCACAGACACACCTTCTAAAATTAAAACATTTAATATCCTGACTGCCAGAAAATGATATAATATTTAATGATAAAGCCAGCTTTTTGAGAGGCATTAATAAACATGAGTGAAAAGGCAAGGGTGAATATATATTAAAGAACTATTCAACATAAAAGAGAGAGACATAAAGGAATAAATAATTTGATGAAAATATAGTCAACAGAAAAAAGTCAATGAAATCATGTTATAATTAGAAATTAAAGGTATTATTTTCCAATAATAGGCTATAAATAAAGAAATAATAAACTCGAAGAACTTTCAGTAGTTTAAAACTGCCAAAATAATATTTTAAGATTTAGAAAAGTAAAGAAAAAAAATATCCTGGGAATTACAATAAAAATATGAGAAAAATGGCAATAAGAGAGACTGCCTAAGATAATATAAATATATATATGCATGTGTATAGATATATATGACATAATCCATAAGTATAAAATCCAACCTATAGTAATCTGAGAATATAGAAAACGATGACAGAAAATTTTCAAGGAAATAATTTATGAACGTTTTATAGAACTTAACAACATGAGTTCCCCATTTGAAAGACCAAAAAATATAACACAATGGTAAAGATCAAAACCTGTGGGATATGGCAAAAGCAGTGCTGAGAAGGAAGTTTGCAGCATTAAGTGACTACATTAAAAAAGAAGAAAAATTCACAAATTAACAGTCTAATGTCACACCTTAAAGAACTAGGAAAACAAGAAAAAAACAAAGCCAAAATTAGCAGAAGAAAGAAATAAGGATCAGAGCAGAAGAAAATGAAGAGAGACCAAGAAACAATACAAAGGAGTAACAAAAAGAAAAGCTGGTTCTCAGAAAGTGTTTAAAAAATGTACAAGCTATTGTAATAGCTAGACTAACCAAGAAGAGAGAAGATTCAAATAGACACAATCAGAAATGAAAACAGACAAGTAATATGACAGAAATGCAAAAGATCACCAAAGACTGTTATGAACAACTATACACTCACAAATAAGAAAATCTAGAGGAAATGGACAAATTTCTGGAAACGTACAACCTCCTAATATTGAACCAGGACGAATAAAACTCCTGAACAGACCAACAATAAGTAATGAGATTGAATCAGTAATTTTAAAAATCTACCACCCAAAAGAGCCCAGGACCAGTGAATTTATAGCTAAATTCTACCAAACATGCAAAGAATTATATCAATCCTCCTAAAACTATTTCCTGTAAGAACTGGAACAAGACAAGAATGGCAACTTTCATATTCCTGCTCCACGTAATACTGGAGTCTTCACCAGAGCAATGAAGCAAGAGAAATAAATAAATAAATGGCATCCAAAACTGAATAAGAGGAAGTCAACTATCCCTGCTCATTGATATAATCTTACATCTGGTAATTTTTAAAGACTCTATCCAAAAACTCTGAGATTTCATAAATGAACTCAGTAAAGATTCAGCATACAAAATTAACATACAAAAATCAGTAATGTTTCTATATACAAACAACAATCTAGCTGAAAATCAAATAATGACAGCAATCTCATTTACAATAGCTTAAAAAAATAAAATACTAACCAAGGAAATGAAAGATTTCTATAAAGAGAACTACAAAACACTGATGAAGGAAATCATAGATGACACAACTAATGGCAAAATATTTAATGCTCATGGATTAGAAGAATCAATATCATTAAATGGTCATACTGCCCAAAGCAATCTAGAGATTCAACATAATTTCTATCAAAGTACCAATGTCATTTTTCACAGTATTAGACAAAACAATCCTAAAATTCATATTAGAATAATGAAACTGGACCCATACCTCTCACCATATACAAATACTAATTAACAATGGATTAAAGACCTAAATATAAAACTGTAAACTATAAGGATCCTAGTAGAAAACATAGAAAAAGCTCTTCTGGACATTTATCTTGGCAAAGAATTCATGACCACGTTCTCAAAAGCAAAAACAACAAAAAGAAAAATGGATAAATGGGACTTATTTAAACTACAAATCCTCTCCATAGTAAAATAAATGATAAAAAGAGTAAATAGACAATATACAAAAAGGGAGAAAATATTTGCAAACTATGTATCTGACAAAGGACTAATATCCAGAATCTATAAGGAACTAAATCAAGAAAAAAGAATACCCCATTAAAAATTGGGTGAAGGACATGAACAGAAACTTCTCAAAAGAAACAAACATGCAGCCAACAAACATGAAAAACATTTCAACATCACTAATTATCAGCAAAGTGCAAATTGAAACCACAATGTGATACTATCTTACACTAGTCAGAAAGGCTATTATTAAAAACTAAAAACAACAGATGTTAGTGAGGCTATGGAAAAAGGAAAAACTTATATACTTTTAGTGGGAATATAATTAGTACAACATTTATGGAAATAGTGTGGAGATTCCAGAAGAACTAAAAATTGCACTACCATTTGAACTAGCTATCCAACTACTGGGCATAAACCCAAAAAGAAAGAAATCATGGTATCAGAAAGATACCTGTACTCATATGTTTATTGCAGCACTATGCACAACAGCAGAGATATGGGATAAACCTAAGTGTCATCAGCAGAATATTGGATAAAGAAAATGTGATACACACTCACACGTGCACACACACACACACACATGCACACCATGGAATAGTACTCAGCCATAACAAGAATGAAATCATGTATTTTGCAGCAACATGGGTGGAAGTGGAAGCCATTATCCTCAATGCAATAACTCTGAAACAGAGTCAAATACTGCATGTTCTTACTTATAAGTGAGAGGTAAAAAATGGATACACATGGACATATCCCATGGAGTAATAGACATTGGAGACTACAAAAGGTGGGATGGTGTGAGACGACAGGAGTTGAAACCTTACCTATTGGCTATAATGCTCACTATTTGGATGATAGATACCCTTAAAGCCCAGACTTCACTACTATGCAATATATGCATGTAAGAAATCTGCATTTGTACCCTCTAAATATATATTTATGTAAATACAACATATACAGTCTTATATATACATATATATGAAGAGACATTCACATGAAAATCATCAGTATAAATAATGGAATACCAGGAGAAAAGAAGTCTCTAAAGCTTCAAAAAGGAAACACTGAGTAGCATATAATGGATGTAGAAGAAAAATAAACAGATTTCTAAATTCAACAAGAGAAGAGGCAATGATCATAGTTTTCAAATTTGGAAGAAAAATTATTTCAATATTAAATTATATGTTCAACCAAATTATGATATCATTCAAATGTGGAAGGAAAAATGATACATCAGACATTAAAATTTTCCAAAAAATTAACTCCCTTGGAGTTCATGATGAACTTGATCACATTTCTTGTTAACATTGAAATGGTATTCACCAGTGGACTTATAAGAAGAAGGCTTTTGACATACCTGTCTAGCTAGCTTATCAAAACTACATAAAAATAATTAATTTATGGAGCACGTTTGGCAAAGAGTAGAAATTTATCACATAGGCATTTCATATCTATGTAACTATTAAGAGCATAAAAATAAGGACCAACAAACAAAAATGTCATTCTTTAGGGAAAAGGTTTATATAAATGTCATTCAAAATAATCTTTGTTGGGAAG